CAGGATGTGTATGATGCTGCAGTGCTAACAATTTCATCTAAATTGTAACTCAAACAAGGATGCCTAATCCTGCCTTGCCTAAACTTGAAGGTCAGTTCAATCATTCCAAGATGACACTGATAGTGTGCCAGTTCCCTAGTACCCTGCCAGCTATGAGTGGAATCCTAGTCCATAATGTCAGCGGTGTTTACCCGGTCAGTTTGATTGGAAAAATGATCTGGGGGCTGGCCTGGTACAGAGGAGAAACTGGTACATTACATTAATGAAGAAGGTGCCTTGATGATGCAGTATTTGTAATGAGAGTCAGGTGTTAAGACGTGTGGGCATAAATAGTGTTTCGAGTGTTCAGTTCGATATAATAGGCTGGGTGTTGGATGACTGCATCAAAGGGCTGTGTGTGGAAATAGATGATATTGTGTAAATGTTAGAGAAGGTCAGGGTCTGTGTAGTTGTCACGAATGCTATAAAAAGGCCCATGCTATGTGATTTTTAATTCTTGTAAATGTTCCGTGGAACCAGCTATTCAAGTTTTGTTGTGGCATTTTATAGGCATTTTGATGCCTTTTCTTTTTATGCTCATGCAAATTTTACATATTTACCAGCAAAGTTTCACGCTCTCAAATTTGTTTTAATTTTTTTATATTTTGGAGTGGCAGATTTTGTTTACATGGGGATTTGTTTTAATTCATAACAGTAAGTTGGTGAACAATAATTTCTTGTAGACTTTAAATTGATGAATTTTGGGTTGAATGGATTCACAGTTTGAACAGAACCCGTCCACTGATGAAATTCCCTCCTTGTAAAGACATCAAAGCAGTGAGACATTAAGACAGTTACAGGTTAGTGTAGTGGCTCTTTCCTCACCTTCCACCTCTGCAGCCCGGGTTCCAATCCCACCTAGGTCAGCATGTGGATTGGGCTTTTCAGTCCCTGCCTGACTCTGTGGGTCTTCTCTGGAATATTCATTCTGGGTTTTCCTCCCACCTCTAGAACGGAACATTTCGTAATTTCCTTCTTGTCACTTCATCCTGTAATTGCCACTAACTGCACGGTTGGACAAACAGATACAATCAATAAAGAAATCTGAAATCTGATAATAAATGACAATGCATAGTTCTTTATCACCATAGTCTCCAAGTGCTTCAGGACCCATATTCAGTGGGCCATGAGGTCAGTTTTTCTACAGCAGCTTGGAGTACGGTACTGCGAGTACAAGGCAGTTTGATATCTGCCCTCATGGGTACCCATTTAGATACATGTACAGTAACACTCCAGGATGGAGAGAAGCAATTGTTTTCCTTGGCCAAGAAACACAAGCATCCTGCGAACAGGATTTGAACCCACAACCCGTTTCATGGGAGTCAAATAGCAGCACTGTTGAACCATGCTACTCTAAGGTGCAAATACCAGTAGGCACAAACATGAACCATGTTTTGTGTGCAAGGTGCATGGCAGCAGTAGTGCTCCATAGCCATAAACCTCTCATCCCATTTTTCATTGTTCAGCAGGGATGAGATTTGTCAGGATTTTGTCGTCAGGAAATCCTCTGGATTTCACGAGGTTTGAAACAATCTTTTTAAAACTTCTGGCAATGCCAAAAGTTACCCTCAAGGTATTCTTACGCATTGAAGTTGCAAAAAAACACAAGCAATTTGTTGTTTTACTACATGTACAGTGTAGCAACTTCTTTGTATCAAAACAATTGACAAAATCACATCTTTTCATATGTGAACCGGTGGATGTGTGGACATGCGCCACAATATTTATCAGGGCAGTTGAAAAAAACGGGGAAAAAAATGGAAATGTGAGTACTGGTGCCTAAACTCAAGAGCCGTACCTTCATACATATTTTATGGGTGTCATTAAAAATTGCAAAGTTGAAGAAATTGCTGGAAAAAACCCACCCCCAGCATCCTTTTTGGGTACGCAAATCTGATGTTAACTTGGTTAAATTCACTCGAACATAACAATTTGAATTCTGTATACTAAAGACACTGTTGCTGTACCATGTGATTCAGAGCAAGTGTTTGAAGAGTAAATGATTTCGGTTGCACCATGTATCAATCTCTGTCTTGAGTCTGTGTGGTTCTGAGAAGAACCGGGGAATAACTCGATGTTTCGAACGAATTCTGATTTTTATGTTTATTTGCAGTCAGGTAACTTAGTGCACCAGATTTTATTCAATTTAAGTCACAAATGGCTTATTTGAATGGTACATGTATGTCCAATGTGACTTCAGATAAACTTTGAAAAAATTAATGGCTTGTGACTTGAATTTATGGAGAAATGACTTGTGATTTGACTCGATGAAAATGGCTCGATCACAACTCTGAATTCAGGTGGCCAGAGTTGAGCATAGTGTGATCATCACAAGTCAATTACTTGTGGTCATTCACTTCTACCAGGACATGGAAGTCAACTCACCAGCTACTGAGTATTGTTATTGTTCATAACTGACTTAGTATCAGCTAATTTGTGGACTCACTTCTGATTGACTTGCTTTCCACACTAGTGCTGAAACATTGTACACTTCAAGCCTTGCACAGACTTATCTGCCCCGAGCTGAAGTACATCCCCAATCGGCAAATGAAAGACAGGTGGTTACAAAAGGGATTGTGCACGCATCCTGCATGTACGCAAAGACCATACATACATGTACATGTAAATTAGTTACGCGAACTCAGCATGCAGCGCGTCCAATGGGCATATAATTGTGCACCTCATGGCGCACCTACATGTATGCGGTGGGTAGCAAAAAACACGCCCTCTCTTGTTTTGCTTGGAGCGGACAACTGCATGCATGAATAATACTTGGAGCTGTACACATACATGTACATGTTCCCACAAGCATCAAGACATGTACATGTAGTCTATCCTTTACAGTAGCCAAGTTGTCCTTGTAATTAAAATGATACCACATGTAATGTACATGTATCTGTACATGTCACAGTATGAAAAGTCTAGCCTTTAGGCCACTATTTTTGTGTACATAATGCCCATGTACATTGAAATTGTACCAGCAATGTCAGTATTCTTGATAAAATAAAAACATTGATGTACATGTAACAGTTATGTTACTGGTATTTCCTTGTATTTTGTATATGTGTACATGCTGTACATTCTGATTGACTACCTGTATTTAAATTTCATCTCTGTAGATATAGTGCAGGACTTATTCTTACAGAGCGCTGTCATTGATCAACGCAATCTGACATACGAATTGTACATGTATGTAACTTACAAAATACAACTGCTAACTAAACATTTGCCTGTGGTAATAAAGGCCCATTGCGGGAAAACCATGTGGTCAAAGGGCGACTCAATGCCCTTTGATCATCAAAAATGTATGGCCATAGAAGTTTAGTTATTCAGACATATGGTGAACTTTTTGGCCAATTCATTAACTGCAATTTGTACTCAATCACTTGTGTTCTATATATCACATTAAATGCAGGCAGTAGATATGATACACAATGAACAAAACATAATGTAGCCAGATCTAAAAAAAAATGATATCACTTAGCATATTGTGGAAGTACATCTATATGTACATGTACTTGGAAGTGATAATCAAGATTTACTTTGTGGAGTGCCTGGCCACTTTGTGAAATGTGCTGATGGCATGCACAGGCTAACAGCCAACATGGCCAAAGTGCACCCAGTAATATTTTGCTATTACAGAACTTGGCAGAAAGGCATACACATAGGTGTATCTGTATACATGTAGTTGATACATTGCTCATCAAGTCTTCCTGTGTATTGTTAACCATGGCCTTGAACTCACAGTGGCCCAGCAGTATACTGTAAACTGTGATATTCACACAGTAGCTAAGGGCTTTTTGTGCAGTGTACTCTGTGCAGCATGCATGTACATGTACACCTAATTGATTTCCAATGTGGGAATCTTAAACCCAAGGATAATGTCAAGATGCAAAGCATGTCAGAGTTTGTAGTGTACAAGAATAATGGATTCCAGTTCAGGGACTTTGTTTGACTGTTGTTAAAAATGTATATTTGTAACCAGCTGTATGATGTCTTTGTAAATTGTCAATAGGTTTATACATGTATCTTGCCTCATTAGTGTGCACAAGGTCTGCACATATTGGAGTGTATGCAAATTCTGCTCTGTAATTTGACAAGTTACATGCACAGAACAGAACTTTCAACCTCCAAGCATCTCAAAAGTCCCCCATTCAGTACAGTGTATGAACACATTGCTGGATTCTAGTACATTTAGGGACGTGCATGTACCATACATGTACATATGTGTCTACCAGTGCATAATTTAAGAGTACTGAAGGGATCTTCCTTACTGATGTATTTCTTTAATATCATTGCAATCCTTTTTTATTTTCATGCTGAGGGGTTTTTCTAAAACATAACGATCATTTTGAATCCAATTTTATGAAACTCAGACACTCTGTTTTCATGAAATACCCCATCTTTGTGAGACAGGTCAGCTAAAAACTGCTACTGTTACCATGCTAATGCACATCTACGTACATGTATTCATGTAGGCCAAAGTGCATGAATTCGTGAAAACATGTAGAAATGACCATTAAAACAAAACCCTGCATCAGGTTGTTTTGGAACTTCACAGAACAAATATCTTTACATGCATGTTAAGTTCCAACAAGATTGGGTGTGAGATAGCCCAGATCTGGGGGAGGAGGGAATTCCAATCTACATGTACATGTACATGTATAATGCATGTGGGCTTACAAATGTCTGCAAGTACCAGTATTCGTTATGTAGACTAGCATCTAATGGCTGCAGTTTGAAATAGCATCCGTGCATCTTTGGAAGCAACTACATGTACATGTACCTACATGTAGCGCGTTGTGTATCATTAATACATACCTACTGTATATTTCTAGTAATGTACATGTAGCCATAGCCATTTCATTTGGACATGGCTGTGGAAGTAATTATTTTTGTATTATATCAAATGAAGCTTCCCTCCTTGAAAACCTTAGTCTCTCTCTTTCCTTTGCTTGCAGGTGTAGCAGATGGTGTTGGTGGCTGGAGAGATTATGGCATCGATCCCTCTCAATTCCCTAGTCAGCTCATGAAATCGTGTGAAAGACTGGTCCGGTTAGGTCACTTCAATGCTCTGTCACCGGTAGCCATCATAGCCACCAGTTACAAGGAACTATTGGAAAGCAAATCTCCGTGCATAGGTAAACCGGTAGAGGTTTTTACCTGTTTCGTGTGACATTTTGAAGGAAAATAATAATGCAGTGAAGCAGTGTACAAAACAAGGTCCCTGGGACTTCAAATTAAAAATTTCCCTTGTTGCTACAGTACGTACCTTGTACATTCATCATCAGAAACAGAAAATACACACTTGTGTTCTGAGACTTTTCCTTGTCATAAATATGTCTTTGTGTTACCTGTGTTCTTCTTTACCTGTGCTTGAATATATTCAGCTTGTCTTTCACAGCAAATAAACATTCTGTTATGGTTGAAAAAAGTCCACGTGGGAATGCAGGGTAGATGGAAACACATCTTAACAGTCTGTACCCCGCTGGCCTAGCAGAGACAAGGACAGCGTGAATGGCATTTTCTCCAGGTGTTCATGTTAGACTTGCGTGAGGCTGGAGGTTTATTGGTGCCCTGATAATGGGCCAACAAGTGCATACATGGGCAACGTAAATTCTCCGTGTGGCCAGGTGCTGTAGTAACAATAAAACACTTGTGTGTGCAAAGCTTCAGTATCTTTCTTGAGCAGGGGAGATACTATACATTAACATTTCCAGTGTAGATCCTGAAAAATCTCTCATTGAAAGCTTTTAAAGTGATTCCTTGTGCAGTTTTAAGGCCAGGTCATGCTCCAGGTAAATATAAAAGTGATGCAAATTTGACATTGTGGAAGATTTTGTATATCAAAATTTTGTTTGAGTTGAAATATATTCAACTTTTGCAAATTTGCCACACGAATATTTGCATTTGTGTTTGCCTTCACTCCAGCTATGAACCAGCCTTCACAAAGATCGTTTTGATCCCACCAGGGAGTACTTTACATGTACATGTTGGGCCTATAGCCTTCCCATTTAAGTTGCTGCAGATGATGCTGGACATCATTGAGTTTAACAGGCTTCTGCTTCTGCTCAGCTCAAGCTGCTTAATAGGCAGGCAGTCAAATCAAGTCCAATCACAGTGACCTTGACCTTTGACCTTAACTGATATCAAAACTTTTGGGATGACCCTTTAGCCAACTTCCACATGAGAAAAATGTAGGTACCTGTGTATTAGTAATGTTAATAACCATGTTGGCATTGATGTTGAACCTATTTGACCATAAACCAGTGCAAGGATGGTTGTTAACTCTTCACCTGGGAAAATCAGGTGACTGCTTCAGTTCAGACCAATATATCCGTATGTCAAGATGGACAGCAACAGCACCAGACTGTAATCGGGCAACCTCAGTTTTGACGCCACTACTACAGTGGTATCACAATCATGTGCCTGTGGTATGCACATACATGTACTTGATACTTTCACAAGGTGTTACTGTTAGTGTGACTCTTTAAGCAGTAATGATATTACCATGGGTAAAGGTACAGTTACGGATGTTTTGATCAATGGCAAGTGAAATTTAAAAGATCAAACAATGTGTACATGTATGTACATGTACCTACCTACATGTATGTGGACAGGTAACCGGTAACCAAAGAGGCCTTGAATGACTTCACAATACATGCTGTTCTGCTTGTACATGTACACGCTGTACATGAACATATACTGGAGATTGGGAATCAACAATATAACAGTGTGAACCATCTACTAGTAACAAAATGAGTCGCAAGTTACCAGAACATTAGTGTCTGCATGAATGACTTCTCCAGTTATAGTTTTAGGGAACAGTCCAGTTTAAGCTTGCCATTTATGACGGATTGTGCAAAATAGCTCATGTACATGTACACAGTGAAAGTTTTGTGAACTTTTGCGTTTTCATTTCACCCCTGCAGTTGCAGATGTACATGTGATCTCTTACCATATTCTCCAGCAGTCGATAGAAATTTTCCATGGTCTTAACATATGCACAGAACACATAAAATGCAATCCTTACAGATTAGCTTGAACAATAAAATAAAGTGATAATGAAATGACACCACAGGGTCATAAAGTAAAATTACCGGTACATGTCAAGTGCACATGTGCATGTACATGTAGGTTTACATTCCTCCTTTGAAATGCCATTTCAGACCATATTTGCATATTTAAATGTACATTGTGTACGTGTGAGCTGCAGGTGACTGTCTAAAACCAGGTGACTAGCTAAAACCTGATGACGGACCTGACATTCTCTTTACAAAATCAGGACACCCTGTGAGGCAGATCATATATAATATATGGGCATAGTTGACTTGAATAACCTTTTATTCTTCCAGTCCCTACAGTATGTGGGGGCTTTATTGCCTTGTACCGGTGCATGTTCAGTGCATATTTAACTGCCTTGTGCATGAACTTGCTTGGTCTCTATAAGGTAAGCAGAGGTCCATTATCCTTTTTAAAAAGAAAAAAGAATGTGCTCAGGTACAACCCATCGTCTTACAAGGCCAGAACCTGATACTTCAGTACTACAGGTACATGCAGATGTAATTAGTATGTGTACTGTACAGCTGCTGGTACATATGTATAATGTGGCTACATTCTGTACATACTTGTTATATATAGGGGTAGGGAGATGATACCCTTGGCTGGGCTTCACCTCAAACCACCATGGGCCCTCATACTGCAGGCAAACCAATGTACGTGTACATGTACCTTGTTACTGATCATGCAGAGTGCTGCTGACTTCAGGCACCTAAATGTGTGCATCCTGGTCACATCAGTTTGGGAGAGTGTCCATTCCAATGCACTAGAATGAAACAGGCTGAATGAATGGGCACAGTGAATAAAAAAAACATGCCTATTGCAAGCAGCCTTAAGTTACTTAACAGACATTGAAATGAAATCCTCTCAAGAAAATTGTAAGTTGCCCATTGAATCATGTTGACTGTGAAAAGCTCTGCAGTTTGAAAAGTACGGGGTATAGGATAACATTAGTGTTGTGTATGGAACCACTGTACTTTTCATAAATTTGTAGTGCAGAAAATGTGTAGCTTCATACTGGTATGCAGGAGGGGTCTGGTTACAGTTGGTCTTGTGTGTGATTGGATGGAACTTTCTGCTTCTGATCATCTTGTTGTGAGTATCCTGTTTGGCTGATGAAGGTGTTGTTAAATGCCAGCAAGCCTCCAACTCAGAAAGCAACCATACAAGTGACTGTAATTCGGACTTTCAACAGGATTGGAATCGTCTGTAGACACAGGAGTTGCATCTTTTTAATCTCAAATGTAAGATACTACGTGTACTGGCAAAGTTACTTTAACATGTTCATTGATTTAAATGTGAGACAATTTTTACTTACGTACTTGAAAGGGCCTGTTTACATTTCCGAATAAAACAAAGTTGGATACTGTTAGTACCAGTGAAAATTATTATTCATTTTGTTGGTGTGCAATGAAGACTTCAGACAGGTCCATATGCACACACTTACATGCATAAAGTGAGGCATGCATGAAACATTTGTGATTGCTTTGTTCACCTACTGTAACTTTTTGAATAGTTCCAGCATTGCATAGACCATTTGTGGACTGCCGCTGTAGCCTTAATGGACTCCAGTCTCGTGAATTGATTTTGCCTGGAGCCACACAGTATGTGCATGCAATAATTCCGCATGCTCGGCACAGGCCAACACTTGTTCAATTGCATTGGCTCTGTCTGATTGCATTAGTGAGTGTAAAGCTCAATCAACTAATGTTAATGTAGGCCTTACCTACATGTACATGTACATGTATTTACAATACCATAACATATTGTAAGACTACTTTCAATTTTACTTGTCAAATACCTCTAAATGAACGTGATAATGCAGGACTTTGTGTTGGCCGCCATGTTTACTGAGTACATGTTATTGAACTTGACCTACCTGCATCTTATTGAAGATGGGAGGTACAATGTAATCGATTGTGCACTTGTGTTAAATTTGACTTTCTATTGGTTTGCTTCCTGAAATCTTCCTTGTTTGAGTAAATGTGTCATATTGTAAAACATTACAACAAACATCTCAAAAACAATGTTTTTAACCCTGGGGTTCTCAGAACACACTGGTACGCGTACCAGTGAATTATGCATAAAAATGAACACATGTATACGTGTGATTACCATACAAGACCAAATATTCTCAGTTCTGAAGTTTTCCAAAGAAGTATTCCTGGGATGATTACATGTACATGTACGTCAGCATATATGCCCCCTCGATGGAGACCTTTTCCAAGTTGATGGTGCTGTGATGTACATGTACATGTACTGTGTATTATTAGAAAATCTCTTTATAGTTAATGAACGGAAAGCCTGCACAATTGACATTTGAGTGAAGTACCTTTGCATGTACATGTACCTGTGTGATGTGCAAGCACACTGTACATGTACATGTATGTCAAGTGATGTGTGTTTATACTGCACATTAGCGTACATGCCACATCATCATTTCTTGACTCAGTGGCACAGGATCTTGTCTGGAAAATGTATGCTTTCATAGAATGGCCGCTCTATGAAGAATTAAACCATAGCAGAACGTTAGGAGCATTCAGTAGGCTTTATTGCTTTGTTTTTCCTTGCTATGATGAACAAGACAGTGCATACACGTACTGTACATGTAACTGTTCAGTAGTTAATTGCTTTAGTTTGTTGGATTGATCCTGGGTGATGTTGGGTCCATTTCCGTTATGGTCAAAATGGTTAGAACACCCCATCTGCAGTCAGAATAATGTTTTTCTGAACTTTGAGAAAAAGGCATGCTATACACATTTCTTCCTCATCCAACATTTTTCCAGTGCATTGTACATGTTGTATGGTAGGCCACAATTTTGTGAGTTTGCCATAGAATTTGAAAAGGTTCACATTCAGGAAAAAAATGGTTTGCATGGTAAAGTATTGTTCTTTTGGGGTATAGCATGTACATGATCCTAAGTTATTTATTAGAATATTTAATTAGAATATTTGCTATTTTTTTCTTACATAAACGTCATTGTTGGAATGACTTGGTGTAAATGTAAACAATTCGTCACAGTAAAGGATTCAAATGTTCAGCACATGTAAGTCTTTTGTAGTGTATGTGTTAATGGCACAGTGGCCAGATTTGTGAATTAATAATAGGGAGATTTGGTTGCTATGGAGATTGTGTACATGAACATGGCGCAGTCCTGGGTTAATGGAAATTGATGTCTAATTTTGTGGGCTAGGCACAAGTTGCAGTGATAGCAAGTTACACAGGTATCACGTACATACACTTACAGAGCATGCATGTTACATGTACATTGTACATACGTTGCACTGTACTGGTACATGCATGTATTAAACGTCTGGCACCCATTCACTGGCAAGTTGCTACTTGCTCTCTACGTTCTTCATGTATGTATTATATTTATTGTACAATTTTATGGGGGCCAACTTGGTTATTGGTGTTAAAATCTTGCAAACCTTTTTGTTTTGCAGTATTTTGGATGCAAGACTATGTACATGTAGAGTGAAGATGTTACTTCACATTCATGACATTAGGCTTGCCATCATAAATTTGTTTTTGTGCAAAGAATGCACCTTCGTGTTATTGTCCATACTGTTCAATCTGTGTAGATTGAGTCAGATTCTCAGCAGAAAGGTTGAGGGAGGATTATGTATATGTATGTGTTCAAACAAAAAAGATCGAGCCCAACTTGTGAAATTGTATCCAGTGCCTTTTTTGCATGTAACCTCAATGCATGATGCCTTGCCTGTAGTAGTGAAACTTGTTAAGTACATTTACAACATCCTCAATGATGAATCAACTCATTCCAGTTGTAACCTCTCATCTTGGCACTGTCCCAAAAGGCTGTGACAGTTATACATCACTAGCTTGGGTCTTTTGGGATACATTCAGTGGGCATTAGTTGTGCAGTAACCGTGCTGTCTGATTCTACTTATTCTCCAACAAGAAATAACATTTGTGGGAGATTTCAATTGATCAAATACAGCACATGTGCATTGCATGTAAAACTTATAGTTTTCTATTTTGGTTCTAGTGTTGTTTACTTTACTGCAATACCTGACACGTCTTTAGATGCAGCCTTTTGAGTTTGGAAATGTACATTTTGGTCTGAAGTTTGAAAATGAAAAGTCACAAGGTGAAATAAGAAACGAAAATGTTAAGCATCCCCACTGTACCCGCTTCCTTGTAGGGGGCCACCTCAGTGTTTGTTTTTAACTTTTTAAAAAGCTGGTTGAAACAGCAAAAATGTCAGCTGATTGATCGAAAAATAAAGTACTTGCAAGCCGGAACTTCTAAACTAACGTTAGACTCAGTTGGTGTCTTCATATCACACCTGTCTTTGAATGTTCGCATATGGCTGTGGCTGCAACTTGCGCACACCGGTATGGAAGTGGCAGCCATCTTAAAAATAAAAAAAAGACTCCGCCTTCTCCCTGTGTTTCAAAAACCCTGACACTAATTTTTTTTTTACTTAGCCTGATACTGTAATGCATCATGGAGGGAGGAATAATGCAGGTGTAGGCACTTATCATTTGCTTTAAGTGTCACCTTGTGAAGTGAGAATGGTCGCCACTGTTCGTGCATGTACATGTACTTCTGCTGAAATGGCAAGATGCCTTTGATTTCCCTATGGGCACTTCAACCTTTGGTTGAGAGTGCAAGTTTGCCACCAGGGTCCACAGTGATTGTCCTGTAGGTGACCCTCAGAATTCCAGTGAGGTAGCCAGGTCTCCACTTGACATCCGGTTCTCCTCCACTTCCCACCAGTATCCTGGATCTGGATTCATCCGTGGTAGCCAGCTGAGATATTGCTAATGGGTTGACCACGTGGGAAGGGGCCCGTCTTGGCATTTCAAATGAAAAACAGTTGGACAGTTCTGCCTGATGTTACATGTAGCCAGGTATTGTGATGGTTGATGGTTGTGGCATTCTTTGGATATCAGAATATCTCCTGCAAGTTGTGTAACCTTTTGAAAGGTCTCTGGGAACATTTAAACACTGTCACAGTTGTGTGTACACAGTTGTGCTAGCGTGGCATACATGTAAGGTTGGACTCCCAGGCATCCAAACAGCATTTTCCCCTCTCTGGAAAAGCCATTTCTTAGGCTTGTTGGGGTCAGGGCAATCTGTGGCAAAATGAAGAGGAATAGTCCAGGAAATCCTTTAAAAATCCCGCTTGAAGGAGTTATCGTAGTGGATGAAAGAGGAGCACATTCCCCAAGTTTCCTAAAGCACAGGAGGACAAAGAAATGCTCACTGCATATGACCAACAAGCAGGCCTCCACAGTGTGAAGGAGCCAATTTCTTTCAATAGGAAATTAGGACTGAGTTGTGAGGACATGTCTCTGTTCCCACAATGTGTTCGGTCCCCACAAAATACCCTTGGTGAAATAATGTGTGTTCATCCCCACAACTATGGAACAGGCATACCCCACCTCAAAGCTTTACCCCAGTAATGGCCGTGCACAGCGCACTGTGCAATAATTGATTCTTGTTTTGCTATACAAGTGATGTTTGGCCAACCTCTGCTGATTTTATTAACCTTAATGGAGAAAACCCTCCAATGGCCTGACAGCTACTGGTAGTTGAAAGATCCATGGTACCGATACTTAAATTTTCCACAGGCTTGAGGCAAAGCTTAGACTTTGACTTGTAATGGCCTGGACGGCAAGTTTTGTGTTTACAGTCAAATTGCACTGGATAGTCTGTTCAACTTATTTGATCTCTGGCAGGTTAAATTTTTCAGGCAACAAATTGTGCAGCTGGAAGGTAATTGGAAACCAGATTAACCATATTCAGTATAATTCTGCACCAGTAAGCCATTACAGCTCAGATGTTCCTCTCCTGGCTTGACTGGCAAGTGCAATGGTCAGATCAAATCAATGCCAGAGGACAGAGTAGTTGCAAAGTGGTAAAGTCACTCAGATTACTTTAGAAATGTTGTGTTTCTCAACACTTTTATTTTAATTTTGTCTTCCTGTATACCTCAGGTAGCAGCACGGCGTGTATTATCATCATTGACAACGAGAGCAAGACATTACACTCAGCCAACCTGGGCGATTCTGGGTTTCTGGTGGTCCGAGGAGGTAAAGTTGTGCATCGATCCGAAGAGCAACAACATTACTTCAACACTCCCTTCCAGCTATCAATAGCGCCCCCAGGGTTAAACACAATTCTCAGTGACAGGTACGAACTTAATTGACCACATAGGTTTGGACTACCAAGTTCAAATAATTTGTCTTGTGCACATCTGTGTGTGCTCACCATTATCAAAGTCCTGACCTTTCCACGTACCTTTTGAATGGTACATGTATATTGAGATACCACACCTGTAGGTGCTGCTTGTAGGTGCATGGGTGTAATGAGTAATTATTGGGAATGAGAAACACATGTGGCCATAGGCCTGTATTTAGTCTTCTGTGGTTGTGGCCAATTTTTAAGGAAGTTGAACTCAACAAGACTTCAAATTTTGATGTTACATTCGTCTGATATTTGTTTCATTTCAGTCCCGAGTCAGCTTCGAGTTCAAGTGTGCCCATCAAAGTTGGAGACGTCATCCTGATGGCAACAGACGGCCTATTTGATAACATGCCAGAGAGTCTCATCCTGAAAGAGATAAGCAAAATTAAGGTAAGAGACAGGGTGTGGTGTAATACAGGGTGTCAAGAGGGGGTAGGGGAAATGCACGTATTTGCTTTAATGTAACGGATGGCCAATTTTACATCAGACTATCTTTGTGGTTCTCTGAAGAAAGTTTGCCCCCCCACAAAGAAAAAGGTAAATTGAATGTGGTCAACAAAATTACAAAAATACTACCTCAACTTTCATTTCCTTGGAGAAGTCATGGACAATAATATTTAGTTGCAAAGAGAAGTGATAACAAATGATATCTGTTCCTCTGGGGGAAAAAAGCATTGCATCCAGTGAATATAGTGGAATTCAATAGCTAGAATCAGAAGCGATTACTGCGGTGAAACAATGCTTGTGTGTGCCCAAGTGGTACTCACACATTACCAGTGCATGCCTCTTCGACCAATGGGGTGTCATGATTTGCTAAATGCACATGTTTGTGAAGCTGAAGAGTCTGTGTGTGTGTGAACAATAGCGAACAATAAGGTGCCCGATTGGCAGAGGGTCCCCAATTGACAACTGTGTACAAAACATATGGGTGGTCTTCTAAAAAAGTACAAACAAAAAAGGAACAATAGGGGGTCCCCAGTTGCAGGCAAATACACACTTGTGTGTGTGTGCAGTGCCACTGCAGTTATGGCGCCTTATTGGAGTAGTCTTCTCATGATGAAATGTAATACTGTCAAGATTGGTCGATGCTTTACATGGCTTGTACCCTTGAGAGGGATGAACCGAATTAAGATGCTAATCTACAGCTTCCTGTTGTTTTTGTCTTCAGGATCAGACAATAAGTAGTATACAAAGTGCGGTCAGTGCCATAGCAGAAAGAGCCCGCGAGTTTGCCTATGACCCCAACTACTTGTCACCATTTGCTGAGCATGCCAGGGAGAATGGAATGGAATTCTTAGGTTGGTAACAAATTTGGATCACAATTGGGTTGCTTCTCTTAATGTGAACTGAAGAAGAAACTTGCCCCTGTATCTAGCTTCAGTTTCCACATCAGATGAAAGGTTGTGCTCTCGGCTTTAATTTTTATCTTGTAGCTGACTTGCTTTTTTGTTTGTAGTTTGTAGCTGATGTTATTTGCTGGTTATCAAAGGCAACAAAAACAGAAACTGAAGATATGATTGAAAGACCATGTCCAAGTAGTACACATCACAAGTATGATTGTGAATGACCTTGTTCATATTTCAGTACATCATACGTACACATATGTTGCATATTCATGTCTTTTCTGATTCTCACACTTTGTGAAAGTCAAAAGGCAATACAAATGCATGGTGATTTTCTTCACAGTTATTCACAGTTAAACTTGGGATGCCATGTGTAACACAAGTGGTTGAAAACTCATTAGGTTCAATAAAGTATTCAGTAGAGACCAGTGCATTTTTTTTTACAGAAGGGAAACAGAATTTAATTTTACATCAGTACAGTGTTTGAGAAAATGTGGAAAGATGCGAGAATATTTATTAGGGAGGGAGTTAAAGTGAAGAGGGCAGACGAAGCCGAAAAAGGTGCATGTATTAAAGACAGAAACCAACAGAGTCTCCTGTTCCTGATGCAGATTGAGCGGAAATGTTCGGCTGTGTAATCAGGTCAGGCCTGGCCAATAAGTGCCGGGGCCCATCAGCGTCTCATGACACTGCAGCTGATGATTCAATTATTGCATGTTCATGCGTCATAGCAGGGGACTCCCCTATTAAAACCCTGCTGTTGAGAAACTGAAGGGAGGGGGGGAGACTGTATGTGTAAGAGACTTCCCTGGGACCTCAGAAATCTAGACCTGGCAGGTCTAGGTATCCAGTCCACATGATTTGCACAGGTTTAAGTTGGGAACCCTGCCAATGTGCTACTGGTTTCCATGATTGTTTCATCCATACTGCTTCATGTGACTGGATGTTGTAAAGTGTGTGTGATGCAGCCATGTTGTCATCGTGGATGCATTTTAAAGTCTGAAATAAACTTGTAAAGTGAAGCTGTCAGAGTAGAATGTCTTTGAATACCGTAGAAAAAGCCTTCAAATAATACAAGAGCAAGACTGTTAATGATGAACTTGGATGTTTTGTTTCGGACAATTGTCAATTCTTGTCTTGTTTTGACTTCTTGACTGAAAAGGTGTTTATGAATGGGATAATAGTGTGTTAGAACTGGTTTAAACATATTGTTTAAACCAGGCTGTGGGTTTGTTCACTGATGTTTAACCCAGACTTCAGCATAGCACCATTATCAGCAATCAGACCCCTAACCACTGTTCAACAATGCATTCAAAGGGTCCATGTGCTGACTTTTCTAAGATGCAAATTTTGTGTAGCTTTTTATTTCTCCCAAATGCATGAAATTATGTGATTATCATTTCGGTGGAAGTGTATTGAACTTTTTTTTTTTAAACATTGAAAATTATCCACACTTTTCCTGACAACTGGGGGTGCCGTTGCTGTAATATCATTCTTGGAAGACACTTTTCAATATGGGGGTTCTGTGCTCAAATTTACAACCCAAAGTGCTCACTGAAAATATTTTGACAAAACATTATTTACTGACCTACATGTACATTCATGAACTGAAACAACAAATCATCCAAGGAAAGCAACTTTAAGAATGCCTAATAGAAGAATGCCTAATATCCAAAATTCTGGCGATTTGTGGTGCTGAAATAAATAATATTGAGGGATTGAGGTACATTTTCATGTAAAATACATGTTTGCTAAATGCTCTGAAATACCCTGTTAGACGACAAAGTAAGAAGTTGGAATAAGTCGGATTTCATTCCAACAGTTCCAATGCATGGACCTTCAAGTTTGAGACTGACTAACTGGTACGTTGTACCTCCTTATGTAAAGATAACCCTGAACCCTAGTTCCTGAGGTTGTATAGTAAAATCATATTGAAATCGGAGGATTGAGGACTGTTAGGGTTAATCTTTGATCATCCTTCAAAATCTGGTATTGAGGAAAATTGAGCCCAACTATTATTGCTCTGTACAGGGCTTGATGCCCCTGGACAGTTCAAATGCAAGGATTGTGCACATCAGTGGTTGATTTCAGAGGACTCAAGGGAGATTTTTTACAAAAATGCCATAGGAGTTGAGTTTTAATAGGAAGTTATTCATCACTTGTCAGTACTGAAGAGTGAAGTCATTTGACATTTGACATTTGACTTGTCCCCCAAAACATTCTAACGTACATGCACCTTTACCCTCTACAACCTACTCCACTGGATACATCTCTGGATGTGTTGTTTCCTGTGGGTAAATAACTCCTGCTGTTTGACATTGATATTTACCACAAAGGGAGTACAGTTGCATTGTGCATGATAATGCCTGATCAGTCTTGACATCTGGCCAGGTTATTCTCCCGTAGATGAAGACATTCCTGCCTGTTCTGTCCCTCTTGACAAAGTATCCTGTGATTCTTACCTGCCTCTCATTTTTTTGTCCTGTTTGCACTCCAGGAGGCAAGCCAGACGACATCACTGTACTACTCTCAGCCGTTTGCTATGCACAAGACATTGATTCATAACATATAGCTCAGGGGAGCCGGACTAGTCTCCCTACAAGTACCTGACGATATATCCCCTGCATCACCGGATAAGGCTTGTCATAAAGACTAGGTCATTCCACACCACTGATCCCATCCACAAAAACAAAATCTGAAACGGACCTCTCTTTGAATTTGTTGATGTTTGTAGAGAGAGGGTTCACCAAATGCATCTATCCACTTTTTTTTCTTGAGATGCAAGCCTTTTCAGGCAGTCAATTGTAAGCGTTTCAAATCAGTTTTGTGCAGCAAGTCTTGATGTCATTAGGATAGGCATGACTGCGGAATGTAGGCGCCAGCGTTTTGCCCAGGGGCCAAGCAAACTTGGGGATTTAGGGAGCAAACCCTTATTTAACCAGTGGTCAAGCAGTACACCTCTCAATGTCTTAGGCTTGAGGGTGTGCTCAGGTGATAATGTGCATTGTTGACATTGAATATTAAATCTTGTGTTTAGTCCCAAGACCGCATGGCCAGCACACATAACAGAAGGGTTTGTGCTGAATTTGACTGGCAATTTGCAAGGTCTTTCTAGAGAGTTTCTTAAACAGAGTAGGTCTACGTAGCACTGATAAAGAAATTGCATTTTGACTGTGTAGCATCCCACTTTCTTAGAGTGATATTCGTGCCCGAGTGAAGTGTGGTCCCCTCTTCTGTACAGGCACCTTGTGAAAACCAGTATACCTTTTGGTTTGCCAGTTAACAAGTGTCATTACTAGTCATGCAATAAGGTAACAGTTTGTGGCATCTCTACCTATGTACCTTTGCTTGGCCTTTCTGCACATTTACATGTGAAACCAAGTAGCCACGATCCTTTCAGCTTCCATGGGTAGCAATAACACCGAGATGGCCTAATATATCAGATCTCTTGGAAACTTTGTGATATGAGGAGTACGATGGCCTAAAAGGGACATCAAAAATATGAATTTTATTCATGCCATAAAAATTCCTTCTCAAAATAGATGTTTTTTCTGACATTAAACATGCACCATCAATTTTCTTTGAAATATCCTAAATATGTGCATGGAGGTACATGTGGGAATGGGAACCTACTTTTTATAAGAAGGGCACATAAAATAATCATGGTCCAAAAACTGATTTCAAGGAAATTCATGAACACAATGTACATCTAACTTCAGTATTTGGTATTTTCACTACTTTAGCTTCAGAATCTCAGACGACTGTCTCAGAAAACTCCTGCTATATTTTCATTTTCCTGCCCCAGGAACAACCTCTGTAGAACAAGGCAAAAAGTTCTGGATAGAAATTTCTGTCTGATTTCAACTTGAAAGTTTTCTGATTTACCCTGTAGCTTGACTTGAAGCCGGGGCAGAGCTGGTGAGATGGCAAATGGCAAAGGTGTCTGAGCCCAAGAGTTTCTCCCCATTCCCTGAAACCTGCCGGAAATGTTTCCCAGTTACTGAATAGTTGATATGTGCATGGTGTGGTCATGATGTTTTGTGTGGATGTTGGACTCAGACCTAAATAGTATAAATATAGAGTGACCATGGTGTGTTTCCACTCAGGTAAAAAATAAAGTCAATCAAATATACTATCCTCCATGAGGAATCGCTGTTTAACCAAATGATGTACTCGAGATGTATTAACAAAATTACAGAATGAAGAAACTTGATTTGATTAGTTACTGCATATGATGGGCCCCAGGATGGGTCCCAGAAACATTTTCATCAGTTAAATCTTTGCATATGTAAAGGGTAGAAATGCAGATCACAGGCTTCATGTATTGTAACCTAACAAAGGAGGGCTTAAGAAATAAAGTTGCATCACATGATCATACACATTATGTCCAGTTTAAATACTTTATGAACATGATCCATGTGAAGCTCTGCACAGGTTCACATGGATCATGCACAGGAAGTATTTAAACTGGACACGGTGTGTATGATCATGTGATGCAACTTAACAAGCTAACAAGATAGAACCAAGTCATCTGTTAGTGATGGCGCCCTCTCTTGTTTTCAGCATTTATAGGCTCTCTCACTCAGAGTCCATTGTCAATTCAAGTGTAGCCTCTCTTTAAGATTGGCAAGCGTGTTACGTAATGTGAGAAAGAGTTTCCCTGCAATGAGTACCGCATACAGAATCTTGCCGTAGGGGCTCTGTGCTCAACCACCCCTTCCAGCTGTGAAAATGAAAAGTTTCCATAAGTGGAGGCCATTTTCTTTGTTCACTCGGCTGAAAATTTGCCCTCCACACTTGGCCACTTGCCAACGGTATTATTCCACAAATAATTTATACAAGGTGTGGTATTATTGTCATCCAGAAATAGCAACTGTTCAAAATGACAAGACACTACAACCAGTGTCCTTTTCAGAGTTGGACTTTACGTATGCTGATCCTTGATGGTCAGTGTGACATTTGTAAACTCTTGAGAAAGTGTTGCTGAGTGACATTTGCTACAATGCCTGGCTGAGTTCCATGGTCATTTGAGGGTTCTACACACCCTGAACTTCCATGGTCTAAGTTGCATGTGTTCTACCTCGGTGGGAATGACTATAGCTGTTGCCTAGCACTCCATACAGAATTCACCAGAACATGTTAACAACAACCTTTCTACGACACAGGAAATCCCTGCATGTTCACATGTCATCTGGTGTGAAGTGATTAATGCCTTAAATGTGGATTGAGTAGACATCAACATTAATCTTACAGTGCCCTCAACCTCTCTGCATCCTCCTCTTCTGTGATTGGTTCCTACAGAGCCAATCATGTGAGAGGAAAGGGTTCAACTTCTGCAGCACAGAAGGGCTTAAGATTTACCCTCAGTCTCAAGAAACTACCATTGTTAGCCCTTAAAGGAATAGATTGAGTGTACGTCCCGCCATCCCTCATGTAACCCAAAGTCTGTGAAAGTCTTCACAGTGCGGCGTTCGTGAAATGGTCTGCATAATTGGATGTTTCTGTTCGAGGACCATTGCAAAAGCAAAAGTTTATCACCTAGAAACTGAGGAGGTGGAGATCGTTGAAGAAAGTAAAATCACCATGTGGATAAAGCAGCAATTCGCTACATGTATGTGAAGGATTTCACAGATTTACCCCAAATATCTATTTAGACCCACTTGAGAACATGATCACACACTCCCGCTCTGTAGTTGTGGGGACATACATGTACACTTGACATTTCACCTATTTTGTGGGGACCGAAAATGTGGGGACTCGGAAATGTCCCCACAACTCGGTTCAAATTTCCCTAACAAAAGAACTTGTCCCCTGAACATGGTGAATGCTTACCCACATGAACTGCCGTAATTTGCTTACCTTTATCTTTACGAGAGAAAAAGGAGCAAACGGTTGTGTTGAAAAGAAATCTAATGACTAGTTTAATCAGTTTGTATGCCTCTGTACTCTGCAAGGTGGCTCATAAGTGTGTCAGTTCCTTGGAAACCTGAGTGTGTAATCCATCAGTGAGTGACATGAGGAAATTGGTGTCTCATGGCCCATGTATATTTAACTCTCTCCAAACAAACTACGCTCTGCAAAGAGCCTGTAAAGGAACTGTGTGATTATGCTGGATTGATGGTAGCTGTGCTGCATTACTGGGTTCGTTATTACTATGTCTTGAGATGAACAGAGAAGAGCTGTATGGATGCAAGTGGAGTAGATTGGACTGTGTACATGTACTTTGATGAACAAACACATCAACAGTGGAAAGTGAAGACTATGCTGTTAAGGCAGGTGAAACAAAGGTTTCTAAACTACCCAGTAAAACACAGTAGCACCTGTCAGTACATTCATGTACAGGTACATAGCACTTTCCCATTTTGCACAGCAGACCTGTTCACTTAATTCCAAATGATGGTGTCAATAGACTTATGTACATCAGTACATGCTTTGTTTATGTGAACATGTATGCATTCCAGTGGAGATTCAAACCATTATCCATTTGGCTCCATTAACCCTAACCCTTAAGGTTTACTATAAGTCACATAGAATGTCATTGAATTTGGTATGATTAGGGATAACAAAGCACTCCTGTAAACAATGTGTCACATCATCGTACATAGGCCACCTGTTGTTGGGTTATGTGTGACCAGCATAAGTTATTCAAATGACCCTGTCACACAGTGCATCAATTATGAAGTGCCACTTTGATCATTAGCTCAGCAACACTGTCTCCTAACCTAGTTATTTTTACTATTTTTTAAAATAAGCAATGCAAAGATGTACATGTATATGTAAATGAATAATTTATGTTTTCTTTTTCATCAAGGTCTTTGCTGTTTTGTTTCCATTTCTGCTGTGATGTTACATGATGATTAAATTGGAGGAATCTTGTAAATATTGTGTTTTTCAGCAAAACTTTTAAAAAATGTGAATGGACAGGTTTTCATGGACATTACAGCATTGCTTCAGTTTCACTGGTCATAACAGGTAACTAAGAAGCTTTTCAGTTACAGGCTCTATTTGGGATAATGGGTTGCTCTTTTTCTGCAAATGTTGACAATTGTAGAACTTGACTTTGTTAAACACCAGTATTAGCTTTCGAGACACGTTGAGGCCCCATAGGTTTCTGTTATGCCAGCATAACAGTAATAAGATGTTGACTAAATTGGAGAAATCTTGTAAATATTGTGTTTTTTAGCAAATCTATAACAAATGTGCATGGACAGGTTTTCATGAACACAACATTGACAGCATACAGATACTCATGTATGGCACAGACTTAAGAGTTCATTCTTCAGGTGAACGTTAACAATGCTAGGAATTTCACGGCGTGGACACCATGTGCCATCAGTTTTTCAATAGTGTATCACAAATTGGCCTGAAATCCACATTTACATAAAGAATGATATAAAATTGAACTAGCTGTAAGGTGGTTAAACTGCTAGTTGGTTGAACTGATTTGTTACAACGTCGTTAAGTAGTTCATTGTTTTTCCCATTGAAAAGAAATAGCTGTTGGCACTCTTTGGAGAGAATGTTGTGTCCTGAGGCCACTCCATTGGAGGTCAGTTGTTGCAAAATATTGAAAAGATTTGAATACAAGTGTGCCAGGAAATATTGTCCATTTTTTTATAGACTTTATACACTACCGAGAAAGCTGTGTCAAAATACCTAATTTTCTCTGTTGTTCTCTATACTTGAAAGCCTGCATGAAAGAGAGATGTGCAGTGTTGTAACCTGTACCTGTCTGTCGACTGTCCCCTTCCAGACTTTGTTTCCCAAAATGTCCCGAGTAGTTTGATACTTTTAATTGATTTTCACAGTATTCCTTCATAGTTTTCTAAGCCTCCATATTCTCCAAACACATCATTGCAGTATAGATTCAGTCTTGTTGAGCTCCACCCGCACCATCAAAAACAGAAAAAGACTCACAGAATTGTCACAGTATTTTGTCTTCTTAACCTGTGCAGTTGTTGGTCTGGAACACCATTCAGACAGTCTGGTGTAGGTTGATACTATAGGGATTCAATTGTACAAGTCACTTCTATATATATCTGTTGCTTTTATTTTATAGCTTTTGTATATTATGTGACTCATAATTCCTGACAAATGGAGACTTTAAAAATGTGTGTGCCGTAAGGATTTGCGTTTGAACAATGTGTTGTTATGTACACTGTATGCTCGGTGCTTTCTAATAGTCTGTGAGAAAAACAAGCTTACCTTATTTGGACTCAGACCCATAATCATTTGTTTCACACGTGTGTTGACCACTTGACCACTGATCTTTGCTCAGGTTTGGAAAGCAGGTTGGGATGTGATGAAGTAGTCCTAACTTCAACCATTGACACTAGTACTGTGGACTTATGAGAAGTCATTACTGCAGTGGGCACCACACTCAAGAGCAGGTGGTTTGCTTGGATGAAATGTCTTTTGGACCAATGAGTTGTTGATGTCATGCCACAATGCACCCTTGCACCCAGTTAAAGAGTATGCACTTGCGTGTAGTGTAACTGCCGTAATGGTGTCCCCTTGTATCAATCTGTACACTGTGTGCTGTTCGTGCAAAATCAAGTGTTTTGGTTACTCGGTACCAGTTTCCCCATGTGAAAACTTTAATAATTATTAAACACTCTTACCTTAGCAAGTTATAATATTAGGTATACCGTGATAGTCCCAGTGAAACAGATGAGTCTAGATGAGGCTGTTTTTCCTGGCAGTGTATGCACGTTCACACACACGCATATGCCAGCAGGCAAAAAAACCATAGGACACACCGTTTATAGACTAATTCAGGGACCAGAAATAGAAACCATTGGTGCAGTGGCACCATGCTTGCTGACAGGTGGTGCATGTTTGTTGCATTCTATTTCAAGCAGTAGGATGTTGTGACTTGCCTTAATGACTTGCACGTCAACTTTAAGCATGTGCGAGTGTGGTGACACTGCAGTAATAATGCCTCATTGGGTAAGGAGAGAGAGTTCAGGCACATGACCACTGCACATTCAGGAAGGCTCCCAGTGTTGGTGGAAGGATTTACCAACGTATTCAGAGTAATTGCCAAGTGTCGGGAACTTTGCACAATATAGCTGGCACAGAGAATCCACCGTTCAAAGAGGCTACTTTGTACACTTTCCAGTACCTAGATTTATCCATGATGTCACATGTATGTTAACCCCTTGACATCAAGACTTTTTTCTGAAAGCCGACTCCGAGAATTCCAGCCTCGCTTGACCACGAAGGCCAACTGCCAAACTGCCAAACACGCTTTAAAAAGACTCATTGTTCGGTGGCATGCGGCTCTACTCACGCTTCCACATTCCCGNCCTTTTCCTTTCTTGGCAACACACAAAGGCCAATCACCATATATACAAGAGCCAGGGTATGCCTTCTTTCACTGTGTTTGCTGAAAAGCGGGCTGAGGATCTCATTTTTTACGGCAGCTCTTACCGTTTCCCGGTGAGTAGGGGCTAATATTTCTGTCTCCTGGAGTAGGCAACTTACAGCTGTTTGTCAACATTTGCAATAAACCCATTTATTTGTATTGTACAACTCTACTTCAAGAGAAGCTAGGCTGTGATGGATTTTCTAATGGAGGTATCATAGCTCTAGTTTACTCGGAGAAATTCTTGCAAGAATTAGTGGGACAAAGTAGCTATGTGACAGTGCAACTTGTCAAGATTGGCTAACATTTAGCCACCTAACTGCCGAAAGGATGAAATACATATATTAACATCTAATAATAACTGACTGTGGTGAATTTTGTTGAATGGTTTGGTTTGATTGACGTTCTTTTGTGGATGCTTTATTTATTCCTCTGAATTTTTTATCACTGAAACTCAGTTTCACTACAATGATGCACTTTCTGGACAATTAGTATTTGATTGGAAAGGGCAAATAAACGTTGCAAATATATTTCTGTGTCACTCGTATGTGAGTTATTCCTATTCTAGCCTCAGTGTTTGGTAAGATCCAAGAAAGTCGCATCAAATCTCTGAAGGTTGAAAAGCCGTACTGGCCAGAAAGCATTACATGTTGATGTGATGCTCAGCAATGGATTGCACCTAATAACTAGACTTTATTTACAAATAATCCTTTGTGGATGACTGATGTAGATGCTGTAGCTTTGTGCTCATTATCATTAAAAATTTATGCATACTTTGCATCTTACCAGTCCATGTGAAAAAATATGCTTGTGCCATAGTTGAGATGAACACAAATAGATTGCACAGTAGCTGTAGTGAGGACTAAAATGTGGAAACCCCCTCAAACTTCTTACATCTTGGTCCAAATGTGCATAACTTTGAAAATCGTATAAATGAAAAATTACTACACCCATTCACGGTACAGATCAGGGTACGAGTATAACTTTTTATTTTGGGAAGTTTGATTAAAAAAAAGTATCAAATATGCAGGCATTTTGGTTTCTGTGTGTTTTTTTTTAGTTCATTGCCTGTCAAATTCTGGTAGCACATTTTTTTGGCTTATAGCCAGAATGTGGCACAACTTTGCTTTACCCCATTTTGTGTCTCATGCATCTTAATTTGAATTTAATTAAGCCATTGCTCTCTGTGATATTCCCTTAAGAAGAAACACGACTCGGTCCATAAAAACCAATTACCCTGTGCGCCCGCCCTCAGAGAATGGGAAAGATAATGAAGTCTGATCACACTTGATCTCTCAAGTCATTATTTCCAACTCTGCTGCAGCTTGAGAAGGTTTGATTTCCCTTGAAGTTACAGGGCCTAGAACCACTTACCAGCAAAGATCTCACTTTGGATGATATATTCCAGAATTATCGCAAGTGATAAAAACACGGCCAGTTTAAAGCTATAAATGAGAACATGAATCATATTAAGCAGTTTGTTATGAGCTAATGACATGCCTTGAAAAAATCGATGAAAACATCGAGGTTCTTTCTTGACTTGCACAGATTATTTGTGGTGCTTTTAGTTCCTCGAATTATGAAGAAACTTTCCATGCTCACAACAAATGGAAATACTCTGCTTTATGGGATATGAAGCTGCTGATGATGATGAACAGACTTGCAAAGAGCTGCACTGCCTGAAATCAGTGGCCTCAAATCTTTCAGACACAAGGCTGGAAACAAGATTTACGTGAATAAAATCGCCTTGGCCATACATGGCCGGGTATTGTTGAGAGATGTTTGCATATTCAAGAAGCACCCCAATGGTGTAATAATGCAGAAATTTTAGGGGGGCACACGCAGAGCACATTTATTGTCAAGGGAGGACTCAAAGTAAATAACTCTGGCTTGTGCATGCGCTGTGAACAATTTTGAGAAAATAATTCCAGGATTTCTGATTTGAAAGTACAAGGGATACCATCTGGTTTATTTGAATATTTAACAATTATCCATTGGAGGTTATGCTAGTAAATTAAGAAAATAATGTAAAAAGTTAATCATATTCCCAAATCATAAGTTAAAGCAATGTTATACATCTAACATATCTGCACAATTTGAAACCTACCCTGTTACAGATAAAACATGAAAGATAACTGACATTCTTAAATACCTCAGTTTCCCTATTCAGTAACATGCAACCCGACTATGTATTAACATTTGATAATGCCCACTGCATAGACCTGCGCTGGCACCTGGATACGAGACAGTTCAATCCATTCCTATTGGTCAAGAGTCTGTACGCACCGTGGCATGCAGAACTCACCATGTGCGCCAAGCCAATACAAGGAGATTCTTCTGGACTACTGTTCAGTAAACTGACAGTAAACTTCTTTAACAAAATCCTTGGAAATTTATTGTACACTGACTTCTTTTGACTCTTAGAAACAGTCTTTATGAATGGGAGCTCAGGAGAATGAATGCCAATAATGCCCGAGCCGCATTAGTCGCGTCCATTCTCCTGAGCCAGTCTTAAATGGACGTTTAAGACCAGCCAAGCACATATTTATTCCCTTAATAAATCAGTGTAAAATTCATTCTTAGTTATACCTTATGTTTCTGGGAGCCAACTTTAGTTAGGCAATTTGTTATCAAAACCAATGCCCTTTTCAGAGCCCAATCATAAATCGACAGGTATGCAGAAGAGTGCTCTTCTACATTTGATAAATCTATCAAACAGCAAAAATTGGAATCTTGAATTGAATGAGTATTTATCATCATAATCTTCCAAACAATTTTAATATATCAGGAGCACCATCATTCCTTTTCCACTTCATTTTCATTTCTGTTTTCTTGCGGTAGTGATGGTATTTAAGATTTATTTGATTTATTTAAATAGGATATATTTTATATCATATTAAATACATCTTTTCATTTTTGAGTGTTATTTTTACATCACATTCAATTCAGCCGTCAGCTGCAAGTTGTGAGGTTTTTATAAACCGATTTGAATTTGGAATTGAATTAGTTTCTCTGGAGGTCACGGCTGATGTAAGGACAGTGGAAAGTACATTGAGCAAACTTTGCTTTTAAAAATACTTGCAGAGGGTGACTGCTATGTGATTACTCAGATATAAGCACGTGATTTGATGTCCATCGGTGAGGTTGACATGTTTCGTCACCCAGTCATGTGATGTCAGGAGGTATAATAATGCTTGACATTGTACAGTATGTTCCTAAAAAAGGTAACTGAAGTTCAAAGGTCAGCTATGTCAAGAATACATTGTTCATTCTTGTGAAATGTTTACTACAATACTAAGTAACTCATCAGCTTTAATTTGACACCTTGCTTGCGTCAACATTGTCATGGATCACAGAGTATTCTTGTATTCTTGACATAGCTGACCTTTGAACTTCGGTTACCTTTTTTAGGAACACACTGTATAATGAATGCTCCCAGAGTTTGCAGCAGTGTTTCACTTTGTTGCAGCACACGTGTACTTGTACTCTAGTACCTTTTGCACATGTTCTAATGATGAAGTGCTAACGGACGAGTGCACAGCTCCAAGCATGGAGACCAGTACATTTAACACCATTTTACATCTGGGAGGAAAAGAGAACATTAACCTTAATACTCCTCAGTCCTCCAACAGGTGAAGGATTGAGGAGGGTTAGGGTTCAACCTTGGCAAGTCTAGTTTAACATTTTAAATATGCTGCGGCTCGCTAATTTCAAGAATGAGAAGTCTGTTCAAGATAACATCTATTTGCATGATGGTCTTAACAGTTAACAGAAGGACAGAAAATGTGCATTGTTCTTTGGCAATTGTATCTGTTCAACACCTTCCTGCTAT